CCCATGGCAAAGAGCAGAGGGGAGATCCAGCCGAGGCTGAGCGGTTTCTAGAACCCACTGAGTTTGGAGACCATTGATTTAGAGCAGCCCCCACCGGCATCGTTGGGCTTCCTTCCTCAGCAACACTTGGAAGGTCAGAGGAAGCTGCTGTGGGGGAGACCGCTGTAAGTCTTTATCTCCTGGAGCATTTCTTCTCCATTGCTCCATGGATACCTCCTCCTCTGTCTGCCCTGATGGGGACTTGATGCTGCCAGGGCTTCCTCCTGGGCTGTCTTCTCTCCCTCTGGCTGATCTCTCCTTGGGGGCTGCTGTGGCACAGAGGAAGGCTGGGCTGGGAGGAAGCAGGTAGAGGGAGGCGGGGAGAAGGGGCCCAGGAAACAAAACGGCAGCGTGCCTCTGTTGAGCTTAGTTCAGTGTGTGCACAGAGGCACCCCTCTCTCTAGACTGTGAGCTCTTTCAGAGCAGGATGGTTTTCCCCGCTTAGGATCTCCCATGATCATACAGTGCATCCACAGTCAGCTCAAAGACTGTGGAATGGAGCTGAATTCCTAATTTGTTTATAGCCAACCAAGTCCACGTTTAATTTCCCCGAGGCGTAAGGAGGCTGAGAACCAACACGGAGCCAGGGACCGGGACTTGAAGACACTGTTTTCGCTGTTACTTGTTTCACTCGATGTTATGTTGAGACCATCTTTCCTTGCCAATATATATAAGGTATAATTTTTAGCGACCAACCCATATTCCGTTGTTGTATTTCCAGATTTTTATTGTGAGATTTTTATTAATTTTTTCTTCAAGATAAAGAACTAGAAGTGGGATTATTAACCGAAAGGACAGTATTTTTAAAAGCTTTTGATACGCCCTGCCAAATATGAGAGGTCTCTCCATTTACCTTTACCTGGGGGGGGTCCCTCAGTTGTGTGAGAGTATCTGGGGCTCCCACCCGCAACCCCACCCCATCCTTTCAGCAGAACTCGGTCTTCTTTGTCAGGTTTTGCCAATGTGATTCATTTGTTTTTAAAATCTCATTGTATTTGGAATCAGATTGAAGTGAAACTTTTGAAGGGTTCCGAAGGCAGAAGGAAAATTTTGGAGGGTGGGCTGCCTTGAGGGAGGTGTGTGTGAGAGAGGGAGCGAGAACAGGAGAGGAAGGGAGGAAAGCGGGAGGGTGGGAGTGGTCCCGACGCAGGAGGGATAACAGTTTGCTGCCCCGCCTCCTCCCCAGCTTACAAGTCTTGAGTCTAGTCTGTTCCCATCTGTCCCGTCCACACCTCCCTGGCTCACTTCCAGCCCTGCAGCCAGGGTCTGAGGTTGAGACGTTGGCCGTCCTGCCCCACTGGTGCTGGCCCTGGGTGCAACTCTGACTCAGACCATCCGTGGCCTCTGAATTTGAAGTCTGTGGAGGAGCTGTCTGCAAAGGGGCACCCAGTGCCAGGGCACCGTCTGCCTCCTCTCTGATGTGAGTGCCCAGGGAGGAGGAAGGACTCTCACCCGGGGACCTGCTGGGCACAGCCCTGAGGTTGGGCACAGCCCTCAGTCCTGACATAACAAGGGCCGCCTTGCCTCCCGATAGAGAGACTGGGATTTTGTTCCAATCACGTGACGATGGCCCAGGTTTTCTTTTTCCCTCTTTGTTGCTTTTAATACATAAAATGAGCATGTGTTTATTTAAAACAGCTTTCAAACTTAAACAAATAATGACAGACTGTTCAAACAGACTTCGGAAATCACCCTAATCAGGATGTTTGAAAAAGCAAGACAACTCTCCACCAGAGTAGCTTTTAGGATCTTCCATCCTGAAACCACAGGGTCTGCTTTGCACTTTATAATCGTAGATGGCAAACCTCAGGGGCCTGAGTCGATCTTGGGTCGGGGCGCCGGGTTAAAGGACGCCCCTCAGCCCCACAACCTGACTTCATAATACATGAAGAAGGAGAGGTGGGGATGCGTTATCATTTCCAGTTTTTAACCAGAACTCATCACATGTATGTTTTAATTCACAATTTCTATAGAAATCACCAAACATCTTCAGAACCAAAGGCTGACCCCTGAGAGGGAGCTAGTAAATTGCTTCTGTGAAACAGCGGGCTGGGGAGACCATCTGGAGGGAAGGGCAATGTGGGGCGGGATGGAGCAGGTTTGCAAGAAGACAGACCAGAGGACGAGTGCTTCCACTAGTTCACACTCTGGGTCACATTTACAAATGGCCCTGAATCACCTACATTTATCTTTACAACCACCAAGTCTACGGGTGAAGTAAATGAGGCGCAGGGCTGGGTAATTTGTTCAAGGTCATGAGCAGTAAAATGTCAAAGCTGGGATTTCACCCGGACCTTTCCCCCAAGTCCAGAGCTAATTCCCAGACCCCTGAGGACTGTGTCAGCATCTCTGTGCTCCTCCTTTGGGTCAAGGAATGCTACTTTAGCTCATCCCACTGTAGAAATGATGTGTTTCTTTACAATGCACATCAGAAAGTCGGCCATCAGGTCCTTTAGGAGCTGTTATTTTTGTGTACGCTGGGGCTTGGGCGGGGGGTTCCTCCAGCCCAGACAGGTGCGGGTGAGTGGTGTTTCTCCTGCCCTCTGGTTCTGGGCACCAGCCCAACCAGCCGGAGTTTCTCCCTGCTTTTTCCACTGTCCCAGGATGGCTCCTGGTCCAGAAAGGTCAAATGGCGAAGGCCTCAGTCCGTTTCATATTCTGCCACAGAAAACTCCACTGGTAACTAAAGGAATGCAGGACCCAACCACTGACCCTCTCAATGTCGAGTTGAATTGCATGCCGTCCAGGGCCCACGCCTTGAGGAATCTGGGGCGTCCCTTGGCTGGGCTGTTGGGGGTTCCAGCCTGCCCATCCCTTGGAGAGAACAGTGTGGAGGGGAGGGCTGTGAGACGTCTGCTGCTGTGTCTGGGGAATCCTGGGATGCACTTGGCAAGAGGCAGACTTTCTCTAAATGGGTCCTGACCCTTTCCTGCCCTGTTCATCCCACATACACGTAGGGACAGTATGCTGTCCTGACAGTCGGAATAGTTAGCTCAGCTTCGTGCCAAGAGCGCTAAGTACATAATTCATGTCTGTCTATGGCCCTGCTGTGCTAAGGCTCAAACTTAGAAAAGTTTAAGAATAGATTAAAAAAGAAAAAAACCCTTGCGCCCTCTCCTGGTAAGTTAATCCAGTACACCTGAAGGCATGGCTCTCCCTCTTGTTGAGGAGCAGCTACTTGCCTAGGCTAACTAAGCTTGTGCTAATTTGACCAAAGTTCTTGACACACTAGATGGGCCATTTGGTCTCCCATGGGCTGTGATTGCAGAGTTTCTTTTAAACCTTTCTTCACAGGGTTTCTCACCTCAGCACTATTGGCACTTTGGGCTAGATAATTCTCTGTGGTGAGGGCTGCTGTGTGCATTGTGGGGTACCGAACAGCATCCCTGGCCTCTACCCATCAGATGCCAGCAGCACCCCCACCCCAGACCATGACTATCAAAACATTTCCAGGCATTGACAGATGTCCCCTGGGGGGGCAAGACCACCTCTAGTGAGAATCACTGCCCCTTGTCTGCCTTTTGTAAAAGATGCCACTGGTCACAGGGAAACCAGTGAAAGACAGGATGGCTCAGTGCAAACCCTTCGTGATTGTGGGAAGGAACTTGATGACTGGTCAACTGAGGTCACCTCTGGGAATTTGTCTCAAAAAAATCCAAACATGTAGACAAGAATTCATGTATAAAGGTATATCATAATGCTGTTTATGACAGCAGAGGTTTAGACTAACCCAAATGAAGAATTGGTTACATAAAGTACAGAATAAGTATAGACATAGATATATAGATATCTATGGTGGAATATTATGCAGTCATGAAAAATAACTGTAAATGTATGGTTTAATAACGTAGGACATTCCCCTAATGATGCCTTAAACTCTAACCTTCAAGACTACTGCAAGATTCCTGGAGGTTGTACGTAGAAGGAATAGAATACTTTCAAGTAGGCAGAGTAAACATCGGGGTGAAATATTAGGCCAAACACAGAATTCAACCAATGACTGGCTTAAGAAGACATTAATCATTGATTGAACACTTATTAATCACCTACGGGTACCAAGACCATGCATAGCATTGGGGAGACAAAGATGATTCCTGGTCCCTTTACTGCAATACTTGCCCCAAACAGACAAAAACACGGTGAACACTGTCAGACCCTCCTCTGCACAGCAATGCCAGATGTCTCCGTGTGTTTCTGTCTCCCACAGTGAAATCATGTGCTCTAATTTCAGGTTTTGGGGGAGTAACTGGAACTACATCTTGTTTTCCTCTTCATGCCTGGTTAATCACACCAAGTGAAAAGCATTTCATTTACTGCTTTATATATTCAGATATATTTAGAAAGTTGTCCAAATACTCATTGGGTTCAAGCATGGAATCTAATCCTCCCCAGCAAATCTAAGAAATGAGCATTCAGTGGTCTCAGCTTTTTTCCTACAGAACAGTAAAGTAAAATGACTCCATAAGATGACTATGAAGAATAAATAAAATAACGCCCATCAGGAATTCATTACAAGTGTCTGTATACAGAGCAAGCACTCAGTAAAGGAGGAGTTGAGTTTTTAAAAATGATTTTTATGACTGGCCATGCTAGCTACAATTGCAAAGCCTCCAGTATTTCTGACTGCCTTTGCTGTTTTATTTCTCGCCTTAGCACATACCCTTCTCTAATACACAATACTTGTTGATTGTCCATCCCGCTCCACTAGATAAAAGCTTTTCAGCTTTTAGTCTATTTTATTCACTGCTGTATCTCTCCGGTGCCTGGCACATAAGAGGGGTTTCAAGAAACAGTTCTTGAATGAAAGTGAAAAGAGTGGGTCTGAAACCATTGCCCCCAAAGAGCATTTGACCCTTCCCTTCATCCTTCTGAAGGTGTCCAGACACCTCAGATGCCTCTGTCCCTGCAGGCTGGCATTCTGCGCTCTAACAATCTTGTCTTCCCTCCTCCTTCCCCTGCAGGACGCCTTTGTGGAGCTGTATGGCCCCAGCATGCGGCCTCTGTTTGATTTCTCCTGGCTGTCTCTGAAGGCGCTGCTCAGTCTGGCCCTAGTGGGAGCTTGCATCACCCTGGGTGCCTATCTGGGCCATAAGTGAAGTCCACAGGCCTGCCACAAAAAAATATGCAAAAGGTTCACTAAAGCAGTAGAAAAAATATGCATTGTCAGTGATGTACCATGAAACGAAGCCGTGGTCTCTTAAAAGCAAAAAGCCAACCAACCAACAACAACAACAAAAAACAGCTTTCAGGCTCAACGTCGAATCAGCTATTTACTGCCAAAGGGAAATACAATTTATTTTTTACATTCTTAAGAAAAATAAGATTTATTTATTTAAGACAGTCCCATGGAACCTCTTCTCTTTGGAAACCCTCCCACTAATTGCCAAGCCCCACCTACGTGGCTCCACCTGGATCTCCTGTGCCTATAAACACGGATTTCTGTTCCATGTTGTTGGCTAGACTGACTCACCATCTGAAAAGCAAACAAACTGACAAAGGACTTGACTGTTCCAGAAGCTGAGTTTCTGGCTGCTGGAGGTGAGGAAGATGATGTTCATTTTCTTTTTAGTCTTTTGTTTTTTGGGGTTTTGTTTTGGGTTTGTTTTTTTTTTGTTTGTTTGTTTTTTGGTTTTTTTTTTTTTTGGTTTGGGTTTTTTGGGTTTTTTGCCCTGGAGGCTGTGATATTACTAGAGGGAAGGTGCTTGGAGGGGAGACCATTCTTCCCTGGCCTGAAGAATAGGCACTTTTCATGTGGTACACACCCGGTTGGAGGAAGAAAATCGGGAACTTCAGATGGACTTGCTATTTGGCAAGATTTCCACCCCGAAGTACAGTGATCGGAAAATTGCCCCTAAACCATAGGAAAGTATTTTTTTAAGCTACCAATTGTGCCGAGAAGCATTTTAGCAATTTATACAATATCAGCCAATACCTTAAGCCCTGATGTGTATATTCATATATTTTGGATACGCTCCCCCTCCAAATACTGGCTCTGTCTGTGTATGAAACAGAATCCTCTGGAATGCGAAGAAGTGAACAAAACTTTGGTGACTTCTTCGGCATCAGGAAGCATCAGGCCGCCACAAGTGCCTGTTTTTCCGCAAGAGGCCGTGGTCTGAAGTTCTGCCTTGCTCCGCCTCGGAGGCCTCGTCCTGGAACTGAGCCTGGGAACTCGCTGGTCTGCTCGAGGGGTTTGAAACAGAGCAGAGCGGTCTGCGGATGTCTGCAAGCTGATGGAGCTCAGAATTGCGCCGGCAGGACAGAAGGCAGTGGGCCCGGGCTTGTCACCCTGGGGCCCTCTGGTCAGGCCCCTTTCCACGTGGAGCGTGGAACCTGGGAGCCAAGGCCTTTCCTTGCAGAGGGAGGCGGTGAAGTCTGGGGAGGCCGCCCCGGAGAGGAAACACATGTGGCCTGTGCGCACTGGGGCTGCAGCGCATGAGTGGCCTGCGCGGCCGCCAGCCTATCTGTGCAGCTTAAAGCAAGAGTTTTAAAAAGACTATGGGGAGAGTCATAAATCCTCAAGGAAGCGCTGAAATGAGGTGTCATGGATTAACTGACCTATGTCTGTGGAATTACGATGTAAAACATTATCTTGTCATTGTAGTTTGGTTTTATTTGAAAAACCTGACAGAGGATGGGAAAAAAAAGTTCCAGGTGTGGAATGTGGGGATTATCTGTACATTCTGGGGCGTTAAAAAAGAAAAAAGAGAAAAAAAAAAGTCAATGGCGGAAAAGGCTGGAGAAGTAGCAAAAGAAGTGAAAGCTCCAGCTCATAAACTAGAAAATATTTTTTCAAGTTTAGAATCAGCCTTGAGACATACCTGGAGTAACTGTGGCATTGTTGCATTATATACCATTTATCTGTATTAACTTGGGAATGTACTATGTTCAGTGTTTAATGCTGTGGTTGATATTTCAAAAGCTGCTTAAAAAAAAAGATACATCCATCTCAGCATCTTTTTTTAAAAAAATATATTTAGTTACGGCCTCTACACTAGTTTTTAGCAAAAATGATCGTTTTTCCATTTGAGATTTTTGTCTCTTCATTCTTTAAAAGCATTTCTGAGGAGCTGAGATAAGCTTTGGGTCTCAGCTACCTGAGGAACCCTGGGGCATGCCGGCCAGCGCGCCACTTTGCTTCAGCTGAGTTAAGTACCTTTCCATGTCAACAGAATTGTTTATTGTGAGGGATACAGCTGTTGTCCCTTTGACCTTGTTCCTTAGGTTTGCTTGTCCTTGGCCAAATCAGAATTTAACTCACAATATTTAGGATTGCATACGTGTTTGGTTAAACCCATGAGGTTCATTCAGTTGAAAATCCAGATGGGAAACGACCAGGGGATTACATTCTGGCCACGGTGGTTTGACCCTTAGTGAGACGGTTTCCTTGCAGACCTATCTAGGGCCCCCCACCCTCTTTCCATAGGGCCCTTCTCCGTGGCTGGCTTTCAGATTCTTCCTGAAATCCAGGGGCGCTTATCCCCCACACGGAGAAAGCAGGAAACCCATGGTATGACGCCAGACCTCCCTGGCAGGCCTCAGGGAACAGGACGATCAGACCTTTGAATGATTCTAATTTTTAAGCAAAATATTATTTTATGAAAGGTTTACATTGTCAAAAGTGATGAATATGGAATATCCAATCCTGTGCTGCTATCCTGCCAATATCATTCTAATGGAGTCAGTTTGCAGTACACTCCAAGTGGTGAGATCCTCCAAGCTGCTTTAGAAATAACAATGAAGAACACGGACATTTTTAATATAAAGCCTGTTTGTCTTTTGTTGTTCTTGTTATTGTTCAAACTGGGATTTGTGGAGTATTCTAAAAATGTATATATCAGAAAGTTCACGGGGACTAATTTCTGGCAGATTTCCCTTTGCTGTGAGGTTATGTTATCTGGTTTTAACGATAAATGTTCCTGGCCACCTGACCCCGGAGCTGTACAGTATTGTGGCTGCACTCTCTCTAAGAGTAGTAAAAGTTGCATTTTTCTTGTTGTTAAAAACATGTTAGAAGCAATGAATGTATATAAAAGCCTTGACTAGTCATTTTTTCTCCTCCTTTTCTTTTTTCTTGTTGTCTCAATCATTTTGCCATCAGACAGCCGAGAACGGTTCCTCCCTATTTCATGTGGAGGAGGGGGTCACCATCAGCATGTTGCATGTGTTGACCCAGGTCAGAGTTCAACAGAACATGTGCACTTTCCAAATGGAGGTCACGGGCTCTAAAAAGAGCCACAAGGAAAAAAGCACCCAAGAACCTCTTGGGTCCGCCCAAGTCCTCACTGCACAAGCAGTCTGAAAGAGAGATCAAGATGACAGCTCACGTGTTCTACAGCAAACAGCTCATCGCAGATTTTACACTGGCTGAAAAGTCTTGCAGGCTTAAGATCTGAATTAAAGTCACATTTGGAATTAAGGCAGTACCTTGCTATAGTTCAAGCCAAAAACCAACATCCTCTGCCCCATCTCACTTATCTCTGCATGTTCAGATATGATCTTCCATTTAGACGTGACTTTTATTTCATTAGGAAGTGTTTATGCTTATCATCTGAAGAGTTAGTCCTGGCCAATGTGGGAAATTAGGAAGTGACTGTAAATCAAGAGGAGTTCTAGTAATCAGGATTACACTTAAACAGGTAGGGCAGTCCCAACAGATGCCTGGCTTTTTCGCATTAAGGATCTATGGAATGAACAGCATTGCAAATGGTCTATACTGTAATTAAACTTGTGCTGAAATGACTAATTTATAAATGTGAACTTAAATTCTAATTTCGATTGTACTTTTAGGGCAGCGGCTGTTTTTATACTTCCTTATCACTGATGGTTAGTAATGTACACCTCCTCTATCAGAAAAAAACAGGAAGGGCTTGAAATATAAGCCATTCTAAGGAAATTAGGGAGTCGGTTGAAATTCTATTCTGATCTTATTCTGTGGTGTCTTTTGCAGCCCAGACAAATGTGGTTACACACTTTTTAAGAAATACAATTCTACATTGTCAGCCTTATGAAGGTTCCAATCAGATCTTTATTGTTATTCAATTTGAATCTTCCTAGGGATTTTTTTTTAATTATTATGGGACAAAGGACATTTGTTGCGGGGGTGGGAGGGAGGAATAATTTTCAAATGAGCAAAACATTCCCAAGATTGCATCAGGGTGTGGAGGCTTTCAAAACAGCCAGGGCTGTAGGATGTGAAATGGAAACAACTGGGAACTTCACCAGGGTCAATGTGATGCCTCAGTGAAGGACCTTGTGCAACAAACAAGAAACATTTTAAAATTCTGGTGTATATTTAGCTTCTAGAGACAACAGAACAACTCAAAGTCCAGCTCTGTATGACAGTGCAGATGGACCAAAACTCTTTTAAACATCTGCCTTCAATGGTATTATTCTCAAGCCTGGATGTGTCTAATGGCTATTTAAACAATACATTTGCAGTTGTAACCAACAGGATATTTAATGAAAACCTTCTGGTTGGTAGGGACTTCTGTTTCTAAATATTTATTATGCACCATATTGGAGGGGAAAAAAAGTGAGACTGAATTGGGTAAGTAATAATACAGGTTCCCTTATCCTTACCCAAAGAATCATTCTGGTACATGTCTGTTCTCACTGGACAGGCCCTTAGACAACCACGAAATATTCATCCCACAGGCACAAAGAAAACCAGATGGAGTATGAATGGTATTGCCCTAATTCATCACGACTGCCCCAGGAGAATAACTGAAAGCCAATATATATCCTATTGATGACAAGGTGGTTTGGGGTCCCAAGGTGAGCTCAGCAGACAGAAATACTTGTGGAAGATGGAAAGGCTCAATCAAAAGATCCTGGGACTGTTGCTAACTATGACTATTGTGTATTAGTAATGCCATATACTGAAGGCTTTGGGGGAATCTGCAGTGGGCCTTCCAGCCAGCGCATTTCATTAAGTTTTGCCTCTGAGGTAGCGTTTGAAGCAGTGATAGCTGGTCAGATTTCGTTAGGTGGTTGTCTTCATTATTAAACTATCTTCTTAAGTTTTCAGCCAAGTTTTGCTTCTGTTTTGAGTTACTGGGATTATTTTTGTTTTCAATAAAGTAAGTGTATAAAAAGCATTTTTGTAGTGAAAGCTTTTATTATCAAGATTTTCACACGTCTGCCTTCCATGAGCTCTTTTGAAGATTGATACTTTCTTGGGGTGGCTGATAGCCTGCACCACCACACACATACACACAAATATATGATAAGCATACTTCAGATAGTTGAGATAAAATAAGTCTCTGGTTGGCCAATATTAAATATAATGGCATTTTCTTTGTGTTGTTGGAAAAAGTCACATTGCCATTAACTTTCCTTGTCTGTCCACTTAATATTGTGAAGAAAAATAAAGTACAATGTGAGATACTAGTTGCGCTTTGGAATTGTTTGTAATGCTGTGATGTGAATTTGCCCTGTCATTCATCATGATTAAACAAGACTTTAAAAGACCTTCTAGAGCCACCAGGAACTTGATCCTAATGAAGCCCCAGGGAACCAGGCTACGGGATTGCCTGACAGGTGAAACCACCTTAGAAGGAGGTTTTGTTTCTTGGTTACTAACCCTCCTGGTTTGGTCCAAGATGGACCTGCCTTGAGTTCTCCCTGAGAGCCATTGTTACTGTTGTATGTCCTTCCCCACAGCAAGTGATGATCCCAGCCTCTGCATCTCATAAGATGAAAGCTCATCTAAAAAGGAGAGAAACAAGCTAAAAGTTCTGTTTTGAAGTGAGCATTTTAAGATAACCGAAGTAGTCACCTGCTTTGGAGCATAAAAACACATAAAAATAAGTAGCAAGCCACCAATGTTTCCCTCTTACAGTGATACCCTAGGAGGCATCAACCTCCAAGCCTCTTCCCTTTAACTCAGTTAAAAGCACTCTGATTTAAAAAAAAAAAAGGACTCCGATAGCAGCATCCAGTCGAGCATCTGCTGGACGCCAGCCCAGTACACGTACCACCACCAGTACTGACTACCTTGGAAGCTGGGTATTGGCTTCTCCTATTTTATAGGTGAAAACTGGAACTCACAGAAGTTGAATGACACGCCCAAGTCCTCAAACGTTGTAAATTGCCGAGGCAGGATCTGAGCTGCCCCCAGGCCCTTGCTTCTCTTCTCATGGTCTTCAAACGGCTGCACATGGAGCCTTGGGGCACAGCCTTTGCTAGGGGTAGGCAGGGATGGCATGTTTAAAGGAATCAATGTTCTTTTTTCTTAAAAAAATTTTAAGGGGGACGTAATTATGTTTGTTTGTTTATTTATTTATTTATTTATTTATTTTATGGAGGTCCTGGGGATTGTACCCAGGATCTCGTGCATACTAGATGTGCACTCTACCACTGAGCTATGTGCCCTTCCCCCTCCCCCTGCAGCTATACCCTCCCCCTCTGAGCTATACCCTACCCCAGGAATCAACATTCTTGACATCCACGGGTGCTCTGTCCTAAACTGATCTCCTTGAGCACACCCCTGAGGTCAGGCCAGTACCTGTCACAGCTCTCAAAACAGGTGCACACAGCCCTCCCTTCGGGATCTTGCTGTGGGGCACTGCTGGGCCATGCTGCACTGCCTCATGCTGGCCACTGAGCCTGTCTCTTCCCAACTCCAGGTCAGTGAAGTCACATGGGTAGCTGGAAATTGGCCAGTATTTATACCCAGGAAATGAGCACAAGCTACAAAGTAGAGCTTTTTTTCCCTCTTTTTTTCCAGAGAGCCAATTTACCTGCACACCCCTGGGCACTGTCCTGGGTGTTTAATACCTGACAGTATTAAAACCCTCGAGTTACCAAAAGGTATGATTTGAAATCCCTGGGCTATATCACACTCTAATGCCTAGGGAGCTAATCCTTTTGCAAATCACTTTTCCAATTCGATGGTTTCAGCAGAGTCAAAAGAACACCTAGTCAAGACAGCTGGCAGATTTTTTTTTTTAATATGACTTCAGAATAGAACTTCAGGGATCTGGAACTGAGTAACATGACTATAACAACACTCCTTCCACTCCTTGTACTTGGTATGTGAACAGCACTCCTCGGAGCTTACGTCCATAAAAACAAACAACAAGAACCAGACTTGACAACGAGCCCTGGCTCTCTCCAGTCACAGGTGGAGGGGGGATGATAAACCAGCCCTAGTCATCTCGTTAATGGTTGTATTTCCAATAAAAGTAAAATTTTACATTTAATAATGGTTTATCAAAATTGTAACGTGTACATTTTAATCAATTGGGTAATAATAATAATTAATTGCTCAACCTGGGAAAAAAAACCTGAAGCTTAGGTCACAAGAATTCAGACTTACTTTTGTTGTAGAAAATTATGAGAGGTTAATCAATTTTAAACTTTCAGTTGTAAGAAACAGCACATTAGGATAAAATGGAGAGTAGAAATACAAATTTGAGAGGAGAAAATTTTCCTGATGTCAAAAAATAACTTGTTCCTGTTTTTTTCATGTGGATGATGCTGAGTATGAGATTACTATGGTATTAAGAGCCCACCGTCTAGACTTAAAAAGTGATGTAGCGAAGTTATTTTACAGTGTCATTTGCCAAAAGAACCTCTCAGACAGACTTGTTATTATTATGTGTCAAAATTCTATTTCAAACTGGCCTCAATTCAGGGATTCTCTCTTGGAAAAGACATCTATAGAAAAAAAGAAATGGTGCCACCACTGAAGAACGGCCAAAGTCTGACTGCCATGTTTGAAGACAGCTTAGTGGGGAACCTTAACTCTTCAGGATTTCTTAATCCCATTACAGTCTATCTGGAAATAACTTAACATTTTATCAGGAATCATAATTACTTCACGGAAGGGGTTATAAATTACATCATACAAAAAAGTTCTGCCACTGATAGTTGGGACAATTTTCTTTCTCATACTATTCATAATGCACTGGACATAAAATCCTTTGCAACTATTTATATTGAAATTTTAAAAGTTAAATGTCAACTTGCACATATGCAAGGATGGTACATCCCTTTCCAGTGTCTTTTCATGGCACTTCAGCAACTGGTTGGAAGACCCCCGCCCTGTGGGCCCTGTAGGCACTCCCCTGGACTAGAAGCTCCAAGGCAGATGGGGGGAGGGGGCAGAGGATACACTCCCTCCCTCCGGGACCGGCAGGCCTTTTGCATTATTGCAATGAATCCTTCTGTCAGTACCAAGGAAGCAGGTAAATTGAGTAATTAATGATTGTTGTAATAGTTACTCATTCCAGGAACAACAACAACAAAAGAGTAAATAAAAATAAAGCCTTAGGGTCACAAAAAATTTTATTTAAATGCATAGACTCCTTTCTGGGTGAGAGGCTAATCAATTTAAATGTATTATTTTGTTGCAAATTTATGTTTTAAAATTCCTTTATTTTGTTTGCTTCACAATAAAAAAAAAAACCCACAAAACTGCGGCTCACTGCCCATCTTATCCTACTTGTCCTCTGTCTGTGTGTCCTTGGTCGAATGCTCCTGTGTCATCCTTAATCTATGCTGCTGGCACATCTGAGCCCACGTCCACAAGGAAAGGCAACCCCAAAGCAATCAGGGCTTGTTCTTTCCTTCTTTCTTTCCTCAGCCCCTAGACAACTCTCTCTGACTTGGCTTTAACTGCAGACTCTTTGCAGGGTCTCCTACAGTTCCTCTATGGACCCAGAGTAAGAATCTCGGAGAGTGACTGTCAAAATCTCCGAAGGACCTGAGATTTTCCCCTACTTGCAAGCTAGCAAGTCCTCCTGCCACCATCTCATGGATGCTGGTTGAGCCCATGAATTTCCTGGGTCAGAGACCAAGGACAGATTATCACTCACAGCCACTGCAGTAGCCAGAGTATCAGGATTTTTGAGCCAGATCCCCAGACCCCAATTCCCACAAAACAACATGAAGAGGACCAGAAGACATCTGCCCACACAGTGGGCTGTGACGCAGGAGGGGAACCCTGAGTCTCAGTTTAGGAAACTCGAATCTTTTATGCCGAGCAGTCAGCGTGTCTGCCTTTTGCTCCAGAAGACGACACCAAGCCTGTCTTCCAACGCTGTAAGCACATCTGTGCTTTGCTCTGGAGGGACACCCTATCTCTGCCTTCCAAACATCCTTGGACGGGTAGTCTGGAACCAAGAGCAGTCAGTGCCTTACTTGCAGCATGGGCAGAAACAGGAGAGCCCCGTGGTGAACTGTCCCCCAGCAGGGACACAGGACAAGCCCTCCCTGGCTGCAGGTCAGCCTTGCACACAAAGACAGCAAAATTCATCACCGTAAGCTTTACTCCTTGCTTTGCTGCCTGAAGCTAAATGTTCTAGCCACAGTTCTCAGCCCTCCACTGGCCTAGTTCCTCTAGATGGACACATCCCATGTATCCTTTTAGGGTTATACCAGAAATTATCGTGTTTCCTTAACTAAGAGCTGACTCAATGCTGCTGATCATCAAAGGTAACCTTAAGTTCTCCTTTTCAACTACCTGCTGTCTATGGGCAACTGGATATCTACTATCATCTCAACACGTCTACCAAATCTAATTTATAATCCACTCCCCTTTTCTATCCATAGTGTTATCATCTCCCCAGTTTTCCAGGTGAAACACTATTACCAAACCGAACTTGGGTCTGCTTGCCTGCCACACAGCAAAGCCAATTTACTGACACCAGGTTGTGGTGACGGAAAGGACAGTGTGTATGCGCAGGGCGCCAAGCAAGGAAAACGGGCAGCTTGTGCTCAAAAGACCCAAACTTCCCCATGGCTTCCCAGGGAAGGGTTTTTAGAAACAACATTTGGGGTGAACGTAGCAGGGAGCAGGACTTTCTTCTGATTGGTTGGTGTGAGGTACCAGGGCGGTGTTCTGGATAGAGAGGTGAATCGTACACTGGGCAGGGGAAGTTGGTTTTAGGGGGACCGGGTGTCAACACCTTGGGCGCATCGTTCCCACTCAGTGCTCTCTGGACGGGGTGATGCATGGACCCAGTCATCCAACAAACATTCGTTGAGCTCCACTCCCAGGACAAGTGTGGCACTGGGCTCTAGGACTGAGGAATTATTAAGATCAAATCCTCAGCCTCAGGAACTCTCATTCTAGTGTCTTGTCTGTTTGGTTTTCTCTTTTTAAAAATATTTATCAAGTCCTTTTGAATAGGCTCCTTGTTTTCTGGGATCATCTTAGCATCAATCAGGCTAACTTGCTATTTACATGACTAAACGTTGTCTTTCAAAATGGGTTGTTTACAGGCAGGTTCCCACAGACAAAAACCATAAACACTCCTCTCTCTCTAGCCAAGCTTTGGAACTTTCTGTCTGAAACAACTGGCTTAGATGCTACGTAGCTATGGACTTTTCTCTGCACCCCTCTCTCTGTTTTTCCAAAGTTTTGAGCCCACTTCCTCTCA